CAGTTCAGCCCACCAGGGGGCGGGGCTGGCTGGCATGTGGTGCTGGGGGATTGACCCGTGGTCCCTGTGCTTTGCTAAGCTTGTTCTAAGTAGGAACTTTAGACCACTGAGCCATGTCACCAGCCCAATGAGAGCTTTTAAATAAAAAATAAGAATGAAATGGCTTTTTATTTATTATTTATTTATTTATTTTTGTGTTTTAGGGGAGGGTCTACAGGATGTTCAGGGTCTCACTACTAAATGGTACTCGTAGAGATCTGCCTGTTTTTCAGCCTCCCAAGAGCTAGGATTACAGGTGCATGCCACCACGCCCAGTCTCAATGCTGTCTCAGTGTGCCCTGGGGGTGGGGCTGGCATGGCAGGCCCACGGATTGAACCTTGGCCTCTGCACCTGCTTGCAGGCCCTTTAATCTGCTGAGCTAGTTGTCTGGCCCTTAAAATGGCTTTTTTAAAAGAACTGTCTTTAAGCTTCTTTTTCTCTCTCTTAAATTTGAAGGTAGAATAAGAGAGAAAAAGAAAAAAAGATTAGTTTAGCTCATGAATGTAACTAGTCAAGTATTTTTAGCTACAGTGTTGAATACATAAAAATATTTAAGAAAACAGGTCAAATGCTATACAGATTGACATTTCTTTGTTCATAATCAGAAAACCATTAGGCAAGTATGAGCAGGAGTTTCAAAATGTCAGTAAATCTGGGGATATCAAAGATTTTGGAGCCAGCAAGTTAATTGGTATTTTGATCCTTTTGAGCAACTTAACAACAAAATGGATGAGCTAGCAGTTTCCCCTTCATGTTATTTAACAAATAGGTGCTGCTTATCTTCCCGCTCAAGAGTGCTGTTTTGTAAACTCTTAGCAGAAAATATGCAGACAAAACTATCAAAGGCTGGGAACAGAGCCACAGAGCTACCCAAGGTTAGTCAAGTGGGGGTAAATAAAAGGTAAAGACTTGTGTAAGGTAGTTCTTTATCTTTTCCTGCTTTCTCGCATTGAGGACTGAAACCCAAAAGGGTAGTATTCTTGGCCTTGTGTTGTCTCTGTCCAGAATGGGGAAGAAATTCTCCAGTCCCCAAGTCACCCAAGTCTGCAAACTTGACTAAACCCAGTGTACTTGATCTATTGGTCTTGAATTTTCTGGCAAGATGACTTGGAAGTTCCCTTTCTTACTCTCTAGCCATTGGCCTCTGAGTCAGGGAGTGGCCTGACACCCTTTCTTCAATGGGACTAAGTGAGCTAGAAGTCTTTGTCTGTCCTCAGATGGACACAAAAGTGGCCACTTGGCTATGCTGGGTAGGTAGCCAAAACCTTCTGGAAGGCAGAAGGGGCATCCCAGAAAGCCACACTCTTCATGGGCCATGAGCACTGAAGCAAGGTCACTCCAGATGTTTGTGTGGGAGCAGACGCTATGCCTGTGTGTCCTGGGATGAATCCCAGAAAGCATCTTAGAGACAGGAACAGGATAATGATTTGTTTAACTGTTAAAATGAATGACACAACTTAGTCAGTGCTATCAAGATGCCTTCCATTGGTGATAAAAAGTATTTTATCAATAGACAAGGAATGCAGAAAAAAAGAAGAGTTATTTTGATTAGGGTATGTTGCAAGGGGCACAAGTTTCCAAGAGAGGAATCACACAGGTGGGCGATGGGGAGGGGAGAGACTGGGGTTTTATGATGGTTTGAGGATATGGAAAAGGGATTTAGGAAGAAAATGTGGTTCTATGAAGAATATCTTTTCTGGATCACTTAGCACCTGTTTACAAGTTGCAATTTTGACAAGAGCACAAAAAGCCCTTAGCTTTAGATCCTTAGAACTGAGATGCATGGATGATGGGGCCATATGACCCGATGGAAACATTCCTGGGATGATGTTTCCAGGCTCCTCCCCACCCTGCGCATTAAAATCAAATGTAGGGGCTGGGGAGATGGCTCAGTGGAATAAGCTTCCCTGGCAAGCCCAAGGGCCTGAGTTCAATCCCAGGTTCTGAAAAAAAAAAAAAAAAAGTCAAATGTAAAGGTCCCTGATTTCTTCAGATGGTGTGGCTGACTCTTGGACCTGTCTGCTGCTTTGTTGCAGTGTATCAGTCAACTCTTACCTTTGCTGTGCTCCTTGACTGTTGGTAAATTCTTGGATCTCTAACCTGCCCCGCCTTGAATAGCCTGTGCCATCCAGTCAAAGGCTTGGCATAAGTTAGATGTTCATTAAATATTTATTGAGTGGAATCAAACTCTTTCCTTTGTCTTCTTTCACCATCTCCTGAGGGGCTCTTCAGTCCTTGCTCTTTGGAGGCACATGACACAGAGAAGGAGCTGGCTTTGCTGAGCTTCAGCCCCACTTACATTGTAACATACAACCTTGACTGAAAGAACATACAATTTAAAGTAAGTCATAAAATCTTTCCTTGTTGTCTTTTTGTTTTTGTCTTTTGAGACAGGGTCTCATTATGTATGTAGTTCAGGATGGCCTCAAATTCACTATGTAGCCCAGGCCGATCTAGAACTCACGGTGGGCCTCTAGCCTCACCCTCCCAGGTGCTGTGGTTACAGGCAGGCACCACAATAAAGAAAATTTTGAGTAGATTTTTTTTTTTTAAAGCTCCAACCTAGTACGAAAAGGAGTATAGCTAGCATGGAAAGTATGTGACTACACAGTCTTGCCTTCCTTCTCTGCAAACAGATTTTTCTGAGAATTTAAAAAGAGACAAGCTCAGTAAGGTGACAGAGCCCCTGCTGTTCCAGCCCTTCTCTCTCCTCCCACCTCCCAGCGCACACTGCTGAGAACAGGAAGCACTTGGAGCTGTCTGCACAGCATGTGAAGGAGCTCTCTGGCCAAAGCAGCTGACTCCCTCCTTGCTGTATTAGTCAGGAATGTCTCACCAGTGAGTGACCGAAACTCAATCCTAACTTGTTAGAGCAAAAGATAAAGGGAGTGAGTGATGCACTTAGCTTATACAACAAAGAAGTCCAGGATTATGTTTAGACCCAGGGCATTAAACAGTTTTACTCAGCCACCAGCTTTTTCCTCTTATTGACTTTGTTTTCCCTCTTCTTTCTGGCTGGGCAGGGTTCTTACCTGCTGGTGGAGTCGGCCCTCAAGCTCCTATAAGGAAGCAGTCTGTAGGTGCAGCAACATCTGCACAAGAGTTTCTGAGGCTTCTCACTCAAGGAACTAACTGGCTCCCAGAGTGGATCACATGCCACCCTTGAGCCGGTCATGGTGTTCAGGGCATGACTGGAAGGGCCTAAGTCAAGGGCCAGGGCCAGGGTCAGCCCCACTTAAGCCATGGTTTGAAGGACTCTTTTAAACCAGGCATGGTGGTGCACACCTAAATCCCAGCACTTGGGAGGCTGAGGTAGGAGGATTACTGCAAGTTCAAGGCCAGCCTGGATTTCATAGTGAGTTCAAGGCCAACCTGAACTACAGGGTACAGTGAGACCAAATCTCCAAAATAAAATAAGATAAAAACCAAAGAGGTCTCTGCTAAAGGAAGGGGCCAGAAGCATAGGCTAAAAGAGCATCCATATGCTTTGTTTTGACCACTCTGTGCCCTCAAGTTAACTATAGTGGTGTAGAAAAGTCCAACCTACTCAGCAGGTTCTATGTGCTTATAGGAGCCTTTAGTTTAGTCTCTTCTAAGAACAAATGTTTTGTTGACAGCATCTAAATGTTAACGGTACAGTGAAAACCATATGCATTTTACTATATCTTAAGTTAAGCTTAGCTTTTGTTTTATGGTTTGTTTTAT